GACCAGCAGGGAGGACTGTGTTGTGTGTGTCTTTTTTAGCTAAGGACGCAGGGTTAAAGTAACACTGCGCTGATGTGCTGGCTCCGCTGCTGCTGAGAGCTGCAAAGATTTGAGTGTCTGACAGGTGCACTCCTGCAGCTGCTGCCTACCTTTGATCCTAAGCAGGACTATTCTTCTGCTGAACACAAGAGAAGCTGTAAGATGCTACAACTCATTTCACAGCCACTGTGTGGCAATTGCACCAAGACGTGCCTTCATGCTTGGGTTTTGTGGGAGAACACGCTGCTTATTTTAAGATGCTCCTTACTAACGAAGAGATGAAAGCTGAACAAAGGGCACATTCTCTGCAGTGATTTGCCTGTGTCAGGCTACAGGAGGGGAGGCACTCCTGCTTTTTTGGAACAAAATAATAACTTCACTGTGTGAGTGTTTCATTCATTCATTCGCCAAGGTTATTTGCTGAATAATTTCTACAAATAAACTTTGCTTTGTCGACTCTTCATGAGCAGTTCTGCACCTGTATTCAATACATGAAATTCAGGCTGTGCCAACTAGACATACAGTTCACGTGCTTTTGTTCCAGCTCCTTGATTTGAAGAGTGTAACTCCTGGAAACGGATTTCTGCAGCAGCTACTCACTTTGACACATTCTAGCTTCACTTCCACAAACGTACATGTGGGTAGTTCACAGCGATCCGGGAGTTCTACACCACTCCCCTCAGATTGTCACCAAGAGGGAGGGGTTGATTCTGAAGCCTGTTGTGTCAGACATCTCCAGTTATTCTGGGACTGTGGGTGGAGTAGGGGAGGGTTAAATCTGGCATTTCTCCGACAGGAACACTTGTTTTTGTCTCAAATTGTGACCAAGTGCACATTGCAAAGAGTCTGGTGGAAAAGAAGTGTCAAAATTTGACTTGAAACATTTTGTTTCAACATTTCTGGGCAAAACATTTAGACATTCCCCAGCTCCAAGTGTTTTGGTTTTGTGAACTGACTCGCAATGCAGTGTTTTGAGTCAGTTCAATAATAAACCCCACTTTTCCCAACAGTGGTGTATTGCGTCATGAGAGTTATAGGTTAGGAACCTGATGGTACCGTTTTCCCTTGGGGCCAGGCTACGTGGTTAAACTACATCTCCCATAATGTACCCCAAGACACGTAACTCCCATGTGCAGCTCAGTCAGAAGGAAATCCACATTGCTGTGTGGGAGTTGTAGTCCTCCAGCCAATAGAAGAGACTGGAAGTCTGAATTACAATCCCAGGAGGCAAGATGTTGATAGGGAAACTCAGATTTATTTATTTAAACTGATTCAAAACTAATGTACATTTGACCATGTACATTGGTCAAACTGGACAGTCTCTACGTAAAAGAATTAATGGACACAAATCAGATGTCAAGAATTATAACATTCATAAACCAGTCGGAGAACACTTCAATCTCTCTGGTCACGCAATCACAGACATGAAGGTCGCTATCTTAAAACAAAAAAACTTCAAATCCAGACTCCAGCGAGAAACTGCTGAATTGGAATTCATTTGCAAATTGGATACTATTAATTTAGGCTTAAATAGAGACTGGGAGTGGCTAAGTCATTATGCAAGGTAGCCTGTTTCCTCTTGTTTTTTCCTACCCCCCCCCCCCAGATATTCTGGTTTAACTTGGATTTAAACTTGGAGAGTGGTCAGTTTAGATGAGCTATTACCAGCAGGAGAGTGAGTTTGTGTGTGTATGGGGGTGGGGGGGAAGTGAGAAAACCTGGATCTATGCAGGAAATAGCCCGACTTGATTATGTAAAGAGTTGTCACTTTGGATGGGCTAGCACCAGCAGGAGAGTGAATTTGTGTGGGGGGTGGAGGGTGAGAAAACCTGGATTTGTGCTGGAAATGGCCCACCTGCTGATCACTTTAGATAAGCTATTACCAGCAGGACAGTGGGGTGGGAGGAGGTATTGTTTCATATTCTCTGTGTGTATATAAAGTCTGCTGCAGTTTCCACGGTACACATCTGATGAAGTGAGCTGTGGCTCACGAAAGCTCATGCTCAAATAAATTGGTTAGTCTCTAAGGTGCCACAAGTACTCCTTTTCTTTTTGCGAATACAGACTAACACGGCTGTTCCTCTGAAACCTGTCAAAACTAAATGTTTCAAGTCAGTAAAAAAATAAAATATTCTGATTTGGGTTGAACTGACCTGAAATAAAATGTCTTGATTTTCCTGATGGAAAACTGAAAACTTTTAGGAAAATCAAAATTCTCCTACAGAAAAATTTGATTTTGTGGAAATTGCATTTTCTGTCAGAAAATCATTGTGACAGAACATTCCAGGATGACTCTGGAGCAGAGTCTGAACTGAGTTCTGCATCCCCCAGTCCGGACCCCTGCCTGTATGTGTGGTTTGAAAGCTCCAGTTGCAATTGCAGATGGCTTCTGAGGGAGAAGGGCCTGAACTGTCAGTTAAGGAGGTGGAAAAGCAGGAAGTGAGGGCATTAATGCTGCCAGGGATTGGGTATTGGCAGCTGTCACGACAAGCTCCGGTTCCTGTGTATAAAAGCACCAGGTGTGAGAGGCTCGTCTGTGTGTTGCTAGGTGGAAATCACACAAACCAGCAAAACAAAGCCTGGCAGGAATCCGTAATAAGCAGCAGTATTTCTTTGCTCAAGGCACAATGTCCACCTAGCAGTGGGACCCACCCTGTCCTCACCTTTTCCTTCCATATGCTAGATACGGCTACAAGCTCTTATGGCTCTTTCGTTCTAGCCCTGGAAAACCCTGGTAAATAGCAATAAAATAATATTGCACACTGCTCTAGTGCCTTCTAGGCTGAAGGATCTCAAAGCATTTTACAAATCCTGCGGTACTTGCTCCCATTGAAGTAAAGGAGTGAGGACTTTAAAATTTGGCCCTGTATGTGCCCAGCTACTTGCCTGGGGGAGGCTATCAGCCAGCATGCCCCCTGCACAACTGTGGGGTAGAGAGCAAACTGGCCACTCATCTAAATGGACTGGTCTACCCCAAAATAGCTGGAAGTGACAGGTGTTTGTACTGTGCTCATCTGTCCTCTGAGTGGCTCTGGCCTATCTGTAATCAAAGGGGGAAGGATAGGATTTCTGGCCAACATGGCTCCATAGTACAGTGAACAGGGCACAGGAGTGAGAGGCAGGAGACCTGGCCTCTATTCCTGGCTCTGCCACTGACTCAGTGTGTGACACCGGCCAAGTCCCTTCATACCTCTGTGCCTCTGTTTCTCCACCTGGAAAACAGGGATAAGGCGGCTTGCTAACGTCTCTCTAGTGCACTGAGATCTGCACACGAAAGTATTATTTCTGTGTGCTGGCCATCCACCGATGGCTTCTGTGCTGTGCCCTGTTCCTCTGCCCTTTGTCTCAGAAGCTCTTCAGAGTGGGCACTTCATGTTTTCTTGTGATCGGACAGCACCTGACACAAGGTGCTGCTTCTACAAACTAAATAAATTCAACCCTGTACTGTTACTAAGCAGTGGGTGCCATTTCTTACCATGCTGCAACTAAAGGCTTATCACCGCTCCAGAACGCAGTGTGACCGTGCTTCTGGGCACTAAGTCTGCCTGGGAAACAATCAAGGGTTTGCTGAGCCCCTGAATAGGTCACAAATCTGTGACAAAGCAGGACTTCTGTTATTGTGCTGCATGCCAAGGTCACTGTGAACTCCAGAGCAGCAGGGGGGCTAGAACTTGGATCCTCCTGCTCCAAAACCAGAGGGCTCTTCTGCAGGAGCTGAGGAGAATTTCCTAAAGATGCTGTTAATCTTGGGCCTGTGACACAGGGGTAAGCAGTTCTGTTTTCGTGCCACAGTGGGATGTGATGACACATGCACAGTTTGTTTTGCACTCGTGCAGTCAATGTGTCCTATACGCTAAGGCATGCCTAGTGCCCAGGGAGCGAACAGTTCTGTTTCCATGCTGCAGTGGGAGGTGGAGTTGGTTTGTTTTGCACTGGTCCAATCAACGTGTCCCGTATACTAAAGCACCCTCCGGCCGAGGGGAGCTGGAGATGCATTACCCCCCTTTTAGAAATGGGAAAACTAGAGTCATGTGACTTGCCGAAGGTCACAGAGTGAATCAGTGGCAGAGCAAAGGCCTAGGAGCTAGAACCTCCTGGATTCTGTTCCTGACCTAATCCCTTGACCACACTGACAAAAGCCTTCCCTGCTGCAACGGCCTTCCGAGTTCCAGGGCAAGCAGTAAGCATGGGGGCAGTTCCTGTTTCCTGCGAGGGGGATGGCTGGCGTGTAAACCTTTGGGGGCCCAGATGGTCCCCTATTGAAGCACTGGATGTGCTTTTAAGTGTCATAAACTAATACATATTTCTCTCATCAAGTGGGGCAAGGTGCAATAGGTGCCGTAGCTTCCTCTCAGATGTTTCCCTAAGAGCATGAAAGTTTCTGGCGCATGCAGAAGCCGGATTGCTCCTACAAAAGGCTGAGATGAAGGAGCAGCCATGCTTCAAAGGAGCCATCGCCAGTGGAGTGAATGCTCAGCCTCTGTCAGCTGGGGAGTGACTTGCCCTCTTCCTGGTTCCCAGATGTTGAAATCCTCTTGCTGCTCTGGCTAATGCTTTAGAGCCGGCTCCTGCCAGGGGCTGAGCGCCTTCCCTTCCCATGGACTTGAAGAAAAAGAGAGTCCAGGCAGCAGGATGGGGGAGGTGCCATCACAGGCTTTGTGCAGCTTTCTATGGCTCGGTCGGATACTACGGTGACAGATGTGATACAGAAACCCAGACAGACAGAGAAACAAGGCCCTCAGCCCGCGGGCCGGAGCAGACCTGGCCTGAGGAAGCAAAGCAACCCGAGCACAGCAGCAGCGCCCAAGGGAGGACACCCGCCAATAACAGACAGCAGCACCCGTCATGCTGTCAACTCCGTGTACCTCTGCTTAGAGCCACCCCTTGGCCGTGCAGCAGGAGTCGCGTCCTCTAGCTGGCCAGTGGGCCGATTCCGCCCGTGCCTGGTTCACGCTCACCCTGCTGCTTGTTTGTGAGTGTGACGAAGTGGGACTGTTCTTAATGTTTCCTCTGAATAGTGTGGGTGTGCCTCAGTTTCCCCTAGGCAGTTCTTAAGTATCTAGGGGGTGGGGTAAGGGTGTATGATCATTGCAGAGCCCTAGAGGGCAGGTGTGTGCAGGAGTCTGGACACAGAGAATGGCCGACACCCTGTTTCCTGGCAACTGATGGCCTGGGCCCTTCCCCCCTGCAAGGTGAGAGCTAAAGGGTTGGAGAACAAAGGAATCAGGTGACCACCTGGCCCGGGAAAGGAACAAAGCCCAGAGGAGGAGGGGCTGGAGGGGGTTTTCAGTTTGGGGCTGGCTGGGACATGGAGTGAAGTGCAGACGTGGTTGTCTGGCTCACTGCCCCCAGAATGGACCCAGCTGAGGGGTCCCGTTCTCTGCACCTGCAAGCTCTGTTTTAGACCATGTTCCTGTCGTCTAATAAACCTTCTGTTTTACTGGCTGGCTGAGAGTCACGTCTGACTGCGAAGTTGGGGTGCAGGACCCTCTGGCTTCCCCAGGAGCCCCGCCTGAGCAGACTCGCTGGGGGAAGCGCACGGAGGGGCAGAGGATGCTGAATGCTCCGAGGCCAGACCCAGGAAGGTGGAAGCTGTGTGAGCTGTGTGTCCTGAAGACAGGCTGCTCACAGAAAGGAGACTACCCCAGAGTCCTGACTGACTTCATGGGGAGCAGTTCCAGAGCATCGCCCAGGGACTCCGTGACAGTGAGTCACAGACGTGTGTGCAAGCCAAGGACCTGGCCCTGCAGCACCTATGTATGGGACTGGGCTTCTGGCGTGAGGGCTGGGCTTTAGTACCCACGGATCACAGCCACTGCTTGACTGCTTTAGGCCAGGCCAGGACCTGGGCAAGCCAGTGCTCAGGGTGCCAGCCATGGAGCCAGGGAACGTACGCATGGGTACCTCCCTGCCCCTGAATGAAGGGCTAGTCCCCGGTGTTCACTGCCCCACGCAGTTGCCCATCCTCTGCCATCACCAGGGACAGGGCGTGTCCCCCCTGGGCCCGCAGCAGAGTGAAGTCCTGCTGGCCCCTCTGCTGCCACAGAGCCGCTGGGATGGGATGGGATGGGCCTGGCTGTTATGGGGCCGGTGAGGGGAAGATCTGCCCCAGGCGCTGCACACGCGGGAGTTGAGTTCCCCGAAGGGAGGCTGGGGGCTCCCGGGGGTCTCTGATGAGCTCACTCCGGGGTGGCCTGTGGCCATGCAGAGTAGCAGCCAAGAGCCCCAGCTGGAGCGGGGCGCTGGTGCTCGGCGCTGTACAGCCAGGCCCTGCCCACAAGCCGAGCCCAGGACACGGGCCCTGGCACGGCCGGGTCCGCGCGGAGCCCCACGCCGGGGAGCCCCAGCGGTTAGCGGGCCTGGCCCAGCCCCGGGGGCGCGTGTCTGTCCCGGGCCGGGCCGGGCCGGGCTGCCAGGGACGCGGCGCCTCTCGCGGCTCCCCGCTAGGGGCGTGTGGCCCGGCAGGGAGCGGAGCGGAGCCGGCTGCGCCCTGCCCGCCCGGGACCGGCCCCTCTGCCCCGGCCAAGCCCCGGGCGGCTGCTCGGCGGGCTCCGGCCGGCGACGGGGCTGCGATGGGAGCCGCCGCCGGGAGCTGGGGGCACCTCGCCGCCTGCCTGGCCCGGGACAGAGCCTGCGGCGCCGCCGCGCTGGGGAGCCTGGCCGCGCTGCTCTGGATGGCCGCCCACGGGCTGTGAGTCCGCCCGGCCCCGCGCCCCGGTCCCTGCGGCCGGAGCCCCGGCGGGGGGTGTCCCGCCCAGGCTGGGGGGCGAAGTAACTGAGCCCCCCCGGTCGTTCTAGCTGGGTCGGAACCGGGGAGGCGGGCAGAGCTGGGCCCACGTGTACTGAGGCCGCCCGGCCGCTCCCCCCAGCCTGCCGGAGCCGGGTCACAAGGCGGGGGGAGCCGGAGAAGGGGGCGTGGGAACCCGGCTGGGCCGGATCCTGCTCGGCGCCTGGGTTTGCCGCGGCTGCAGGAGACACCCCGTTATCCCCTGGGTGCCCCAACGCGGGGCTGCAGATGCTGGAAGGAGAACTCCCCCTCCGGCCCTGGCTGCTCTGGGTGGCGTTAGGGGGGCCCTGGGGGTGGTTCGGTGGCCGAACACCTGCCCCCCCGGTGGTGACTCACCGGGAGACAGGCGCTTCCTGCAGCCCGGACTCAGGCTCCCAACTCGGGGAGAGGAGCAGGACTGGGCTCTCCTTGGCATCTCCCCGGGCTAGCGCGGGCGGCTCCCCGCCTGGCACCTGCCCTTGTGGGTCTTCGCATCCTTGGGCTCCCCGCTCGCCCTAGGCACCGCAGGGAGTCGAGGTCCCGAACTCAGGCTTTGTGGCTCAAGGGTTTTCCTGTCATTTTCTAGAGCCTACAAGTTAGGCGCTGTGACCGTCTGCATTGCAACGCCTGAGTCCCTGGGAGGATTCGGGCCCCGGTGACCGGATAGCGCCACCGCTGCCAACCACACAGGCCTCATGACAACCACCTCCTTGGGCTGGGCATTTCACGGCAGAAAAGCAAGCTCCGTGTTGGGCTAGGGGGCCTGAGGAGCCTGCTGAGAAGGAGCAGAGCCATAGGAAAGAAGTGTATAAATAACCAGTGGTTGACTTGACCTGCTAACTCTTTGTGGGAGAGGCTCTCTAGTGTAAAAATACAATTCGGAAGGCCAAAAAAGAATGTGAGGAACAGCTAGCCAAAGACTCAAAAAGTAATAGCAAAATTTTTTTAAGTACATCAGAAGCAGGAAGCCTGCTAAGCAACCAGTGGGGCCACTGGAAGATCGAGATGCTAAAGGAGCACTCAAGGACGATAAGGCCATTGTAGAGAAACTAAATTAATTCTTTGCATTGGTCTTCACGGCTGAGGACGTGAGGGAGATTCCCACACCTGAGCCATTCTTTTTAAGTGAAAAATCTGAGGCACTGTCCCAGATGGAGGTGTCATTAGAGGAGGTTTTGGAACAAATTGATTAACAGTAATAAGTCACCAGGACCGGATGGCATCACGCAAGAGTTCTGAAGGAACTCAGATATAAGGTGGACTATAAGATGGATAGAAAGCTGGCTAGATTGTCGGGCTCAACGGGTAGTGATCAATGGCTCCATGTCTAGTTGGCAGCCGGTATCAAGCGGAGTGCCCCAAGGGTAGGTCCTCAGGCTGGTTTTGTTCAATATCTTCATTAATGATCTGGAGGATGGTGTGGATTGCACTCTCAGCAAGTTTGCAGATGACACTAAACTGGGAGGAGAGGTAGATACGCTGGAGGGTAGGGATAGGATACAGAGGGACCTAGACAAATTGGAGGATTGGGCCAAAAGATTCTATGATTCAGATGTGACATTGAACTTCTCTACCTATGGTCATGGCTGGCCCGGTAGACTTAGTCTTCTTGTCTTCCTGCAGGGTATCATCGAATCTGCAGGCCTTGTACTCTGTTTTATTCCTGCTGATTTTCATGCCATTTCTTTCTCGCATGCACCTCTGTCTTGTTAAATCTTCTTCCACTTGCTCTTTGCTCTCCCCTGCGATCACTAAGTCATCTGCAAAAACCATGCACCAAGGGGCACTCTGGATGTTTTGTGTAAGTGCATCAAGCACCAACGGGAACCAAAAGGGGCTTAGTGCTGAGCCCTGATGTGCTCTGATTCTTACTAAACACTGTTCGGTTTCTCCACATGGATTTCGGACTGTGGTAACCGTACGTACCAACAGTTCGTGTCCCAGACAAGTCTGATATAGTCTTCAGGCATCGGTTTCGTTGTCATGCACCACCAAATGACTTCTCTTGGAATGTGTTCATAAGCCTTCCCAACATGGATGAGTACTGTCTGCAGGGTTTTCTACTTTTCTCTGTATTTTTTCCACAAGCAATCTTAATGCAAAGAGAACATCCATTTGTTCTGTTCCAGTAGAACAGTTCCTAATTTGTTGGGTACATTTGTGAAATGGCTAGAATGAGTGGGACAAGGCGGGTGAGATAATCTTTTTTTATTGGACCAACTTCCGTTTGAAAGAGACGAGCTTTCGAGCCAAACAGAGCTCTTGCTGAGTGGTGCATTTGGGGGATGTAATTTCAGGCTACACAATGATGATTTAAAGGGAAACTGCTGAGCCGTGTCTTGTACAGCTTTTATGTTCTTATTTATTTGCTTTTTACTCTGTTGTTCATAACCTTAGACCCAGCTCCTTCCGCCCTTTATGTGAGCCAATGTATGAAAATTAATGGGAAAATTAACCATTGGCAGGCGTGTGCTTTACCAGGTTTCCCCTCCTCTGTCTACGTTTATATAGCTTTATTTATTTGGATAAGGGATGTAATTAGCCTGGCTGCGTTGCTTAAAACCACCTTGTCCAACATGCTGCGTTCTCATGCCAAAGCATCCGTATTACTGCACGAGCATCATCCACTGATCTCAGTCCAGCTGAGCACCATCTGGAGTTCACCCCTCCCCGAGGTGTGTTGAGTTTGTCCTGCAGCGGCTCATCACTGCTGAGTCTTGGCCCCCATGTGGGGAGCTGTGGCCCAGGGAGGGGAAGTGAGCTGCCCTGGCCACCCCTGACGCAGACCTAGTGCTAGGGCTGCTGGAGAGTGCGATGCTGGCTAGTGCTCAGCGGGCTGTGTGGTTACAGGAGCAGCCCTGGGGCAAGCCAGAGAGCACCCTGGCCTTGGGGCCTGGCGTGAAACAGGAGCCTGCCGTTGCTAGTTAGTAGCATGTCCCACGATCCCACTGAAGGGGCATACTCTGATTGACTCTCCCACGTACTGGGCTGCAGGACCTGGCCTCATGGGCACTGGGGTGTCCTGGGGGACCCTGGGCACTGTTAAATAGCTCAGCCTGTTCCTCATCCTAGCCGATAAAGCTGGACTGAGAACCCCAGCCCCTGCGTGAAAGGGCAGTGCGCCCCTGCCCTGATGCCTCTCCCTCTGTGTCCCCCCAGGCTGTTCCGTGCCCACTGCAGGAGGAAGGGCTGGCAGGAGGCGTCGGTGCTCTGCATCATTTACAGCTTTGTGGGCAGCATGTGCAACACGATCGGGGCACTCCTCGCCAAGCAGCTTACCATCCAGGTACGCGGGAGACGTCTGGCCTGCCCCCGCAGAGGCCTGCAGATCCTGGAGGTCGGGCATGGGACAGGTTGGAGCCCCCAGCCCAACCCCTGCGGCCAGTTGGGGTTGGCTAGGGCTTTGGCCATGGGCACAGATGATGGTGCTCCCTGTGTGTCCCTAGGCCCAACACGTGTCAGAGAGTACTGCCCCGAACCCCTCAGCCCTGGCCAGGCACAGCTGGCCCTGCAGTCCCTGGGCGCCTTGCCTCAGGGCTGGAGGGGGCAGGTTCCCCTGGCTGAGTTCTGCCCCTTTGCTCCATGGTGGTCCCCCCACCACGAGACCCCGTCCCAAGTCCCCTGAGGTAACAGCAATCCCAGGAGGCCAGCACAGATCCAAATGGCCGCTCTGATACCGGGGAGCCCCCCCACCATGCGGGCAGCCAACTCTGACATAAGGCCCCTCCCTTCACCCCAGCCATGGCTGCTCAGGGTCCCCCTGCTGAGGAGGGGACTCCGGGAGGGTGAGGATAACGCAGGCTCGGCCCAGCTGCCTTTCCCTTGTAAACTGCGCTGGGGGCCATGTGCGTTTCCCTGCCCTGCCCAGCCAGGCCTGGCCCCACCGAGAGACCGACGAGGGGACGGTGGCAGGGAGTGGGGCAGTTCATGGGCAGGGGTCCCTGCTGCACGCAGAGGGGGGCCTCCGTCCCCCACTGATGACATGGCTCTTTAAGCCTCGGTGCCACCCTTTGCTGCACCTTCTTCCCCTTGACCGGGAGCAGTCGTTCCGGGCGGGCGTCTCCCTGGCTGAGTCACCGGGGGCAGGGGTAGGGTGAGGCTCACGCTCCCCACCCTGTTTGTCTTCTTCCTCAGGGCTGACGGAGTAACAGCTGCTTCCCTGAGGTGGAGTCATGAGCAGCCGACTCTGCCAGTCTGGGAGGGCCCTGGGCCCAGCCTCGCTCACGGCCGCTGTCTCCCCAGCACAGGGCGGTTGGTCGCTCCCGGCATTCACGGCTGGCGCTCAGGGTATGCCCGCACTGCAGGCAGACACCCGCGGCTGGCCCGGGCCAGCCGACTCCAGCTCTGGCTAAGGGGTTGTAGAATTGCAGGGTCGATGTTCGGGCTCTGGGATCGTCCCCCCTTGCAGGGTCTGAGGGCTTGGGCTGGAGCCCGAACATCGACCCTGCAATTAAACAGCCCCTTAGCCCAAGGCTACTAGCCGCGGGTGTGTAATTTCTGTGTAGAAGTACCCGCAGAGGCCACAATAGCTGCATTAGAAAGAGATACAAGGAGACACCAAGTCCTTGTCCCTCCCAGACAGACCATCCCAGGGCACCTGGCATGGGGAGCTGCCGTTCAGTTCTGCCTCTCAGGCTCAGCCAGCAGTCCCTCCCCCGAGCTCATGGGGCAGGCGGGACGGAGGGGACCCAGATTGCTGGTGCCTTTAGTTACCCTGGGCTGCGCGGGACATTGCTCTGGTTTAACGGGGGGTGGGATTTTTAAGCCCAGTAGTGAAAACTTGCACGATGTCTCTTCTCCCACATGGGGGCGACGCAGACCCCGACTTGTGCGCACAGTTCCCAGGGCTGGGCGTGCAGACGGGCTGGGTGTGTGAACACACGGACCCCCACGGCTGTTTGCAGCTGCGCACCCAGGGGTGCGGCCAGGGAAGGAGGCACGTCAGAGGTGGAGCGGCTGTGCCTTTACCTGCTCGGAAAGGGGGCTGCACGCCGCGTGCTTCCTGAGCTGAGCGTGAATGTGAGAAACGGGCGAGCACGGCAGGCCAGCGCCGGGGCTGTGGGGAGGGAACAGCCTCATGGCGCTGCCCTGCCCGGCACTTGTGCCCCCTCCCCCAGCTCACTCCCAGTCCCAGGGCTGTTGCTCAGAATGGGATGGTCCCTGCAGGTTTTTCACAGCAGGGCTCACTGGGGCAGGCGGGCTCTGTGTTACACACCCGGCCCTGTCCGCACCTTAGCACGGGGCAGCTGGGGCAGGCGGGCTCTGCGTTACACGCCCGGCGCTGTCCGCACCTTAGCACGGGGCAGCTGGGGCAGGCGGGCTCTGTGTTACACACCCGGTGCTATCCGCACCTTAGCACGGGGCAGCTGGGGCAGGCGGGCTCTGTGTTACACGCCCGGCGCTGTCCGCACCTTAGCACGGGGCAGCTGGGGCAGGCGGGCTCTGTGTTACACGCCCGGCGCTGTCCGCACATTAGCAAAGGGCAGCTGGGGAAGGCGGGCTCTGTGTTACACGCCCGGCGCTGTCCGCACATTAGCAAAGGGCAGCTGGGGCAGGCGGGCTCTGTGTTACACACCCGGCACTGTCCGCACCTTAGCACGGGGCAGCTGGGGCAGGCGGGCTCTGTGTTACACGCCCGGCGCTGTCCGCACATTAGCAAAGGGCAGCTGGGGCAGGCGGGCTCTGTGTTACACACCCGGCACTGTCCGCACCTTAGCACGGGGCAGCTGGGGCAGGCGGGCTCTGTGTTACACACTCATCACTGTCCGCACCTTAGCACAGGGCAGCTGGGGCAGGCGGGCTCTGTGTTACACACTCATCGCTGTCCGCACCTTAGCACAGGGCAGCTGGGGCAGGCGGGCTCTGTGTTACACACTCATCACTGTCCGCACCTTAGCACGGGGCAGCTGGGGCAGGCGGGCTCTGTGTTACACACCCGGCACTGTCCACACCTTAGCACGGGGCAGCTGGGGCAGGCGGGCTCTGTGTTACACGCCCGGCGCTGTCCGCCCCTTAGCACGGGGCAGCTGGGGCAGGCGGGCTCTGTGTTACACACTCATCGCTGTCTGCACCTTAGCACGGGGCAGCTGGGGCAGGCGGGCTCTGTGTTACACACTCATCGCTGTCCGCACCTTAGCACGGGGCAGATGGGGCAGGCGGGCTCTGTGTTACACACCCGGCACTGTCCGCACCTTAGCACGGGGCAGCTGGGGCAGGCGGGCTCTGTGTTACACGCCCGGCGCTGTCCGCACATTAGCAAAAGGCTGCTGGGGCAGGCGGGCTCTGTGTTACACACTCATCACTGTCCGCACCTTAGCACGGGGCAGCTGGGGCAGGCGGGCTCTGTGTTACACACTCATCACTGTCCGCACCTTAGCACAGGGCAGCTGGGGCAGGCGGGCTCTGTGTTACACACCCGGCACTGTCCGCACCTTAGCACGGGGCAGCTGGGGCAGGCGGGCTCTGTGTGACACACCCGGCGCTGTCCGCACCTTAGCACGGGGCAGCTGGGGCAGGCGGGCTCTGTGTTACACGCCCGGCGCTGTCCGCCCCTTAGCACGGGGCAGCTGGGGCAGGCGGGCTCTGTGTTACACACTCATCGCTGTCTGCACCTTAGCACGGGGCAGCTGGGGCAGGCGGGCTCTGTGTTACACACCCGGCACTGTCCACACCTTAGCACGGGGCAGCTGGGGCAGGCGGGCTCTGTGTTACACACTCATCGCTGTCCGCACCTTAGCACGGGGCAGCTGGGGCAGGCGGGCTCTGTGTGACACACCCGGCGCTGTCCGCACCTTAGCACGGGGCAGCTGGGGCAGGCGGGCTCTGTGTTACACGCCCGGCGCTGTCCGCACCTTAGCACGGGGCAGCTGGGGCAGGCGGGCTCTGTGTTACACGCCCGGCGCTGTCCGCCCCTTAGCACGGGGCAGCTGGGGCAGGCGGGCTCTGTGTTACACACTCATCGCTGTCCGCACCTTAGCACGGGGCAGCTGGGGCAGGCGGGCTCTGTGTTACACGCCCGGCGCTGTCCGCACCTTAGCACAGGGCAGCTGGGGCAGGCGGGCTCTGTGTGACACGCCCGGCGCTGTCCGCCCCTTAGCACGGGGCAGCTGGGGCAGGCGGGCTCTGTGTTACACGCCCGGCGCTGTCCGCCCTTCGTGTGCACGCCCGCGCTGTCCCCCTTCCCCCTTAGCACGGGGCAGCTGGGGCAGGCGGGCTCTGTGTTACACACTCATCGCTGTCCGCACCTTAGCACAGGGCAGCTGGGGCAGGCGGGCTCTGTGTTACACACTCATCGCTGTCCGCCCCTTAGCACGGGGCAGCTGGGGCAGGCGGGCTCTGTGTGACACGCCCGGCGCTGTCCGCCCCTTAGCACGGGGCAGCTGGGGCAGGCGGGCTCTGTGTTACACACTCATCGCTGTCTGCACCTTAGCACGGGGCAGCTGGGGCAGGCGGGCTCTGTGTTACACACCCAGCACTGTCCGCACCTTAGCACGGGGCAGCTGGGGCAGGCGGGCTCTGTGTTACACACCCGGCACTGTCCGCACCTTAGCACGGGGCAGCTGGGGCAGGCGGGCTCTGTGTTACACGCCCGGCGCTGTCCGCACCTTAGCACAGGGCAGCTGGGGCAGGCGGGCTCTGTGTTACACGCCCGGCACTGTCCGCACCTTAGCACGGGGCAGCTGGGGCAGGCGGGCTCTGTGTTACACACTCATCTCTGTCCGCACCTTAGCACGGGGCAGCTGGGGCAGCACTGCGAGCAGCCGCTAGGGCAGAGGGTTCGGAATCTGTTTGAGAAAATTCCTTTTGTGCATAAATTCTCCAGGCTGGTTCCTGGGGCCGGGATGAGTCCGTCTGACGTCGATGCAGAAGTTCATCTCGCTGGGGGTTCTTGGGGTGGTGCAGGGCGCTCTTGGGGGCGTTGGACCAGACTCTGGTGTGCTGTGGCCCGGAGGCTGTCTGCAGTGGGGGCTGAGAAGGCGGATACTGTGTACTTCACTGGGTTATCTGGAGTAAAATCTGAACTCTGTCATACTCCGGGGTCTGCTCCCTGTCTGGCCTGGGAGCTTCGGAGCCCCCTGGGGTGACATTTGGCACCATGAGCTGTCGGCCAGTGACAGAGCTCCAAGCACTGTAGCTTGGGAGAGATCTGCATGGAGTGTCCAAATGGCCACCCCAGCCGTGAGCAGGGTACCACACCGGGCCTCCCCCCCCCCTCGTCAGCTGCTTGCTTTCCCAGGGACGCCGGGTCTCGGCTAGATGGGCAGAGTTTAGTTCATCTCCAGAGCCTGCTGCGGGAGCTGTCTGCCCCATTGCTCTGGCCTAAGCTCTCCGCAGCAGGCCCTGTCTCTGCCATGGCCCATGAGGAGGCTACGGACGCTGTTGGTCTGGGGGAGGCCCAGGGAGAGCTGGGGTCACCCGAAGGCTGCCACAGAGATCTGTGCTGAGAGCTGGGGACTGGAAGTCGAAACCCATCCGCTCTTTCCCAGCTCTGACACCTGCTGGCTAGGTGACCTTGGCCAAGGCTGTTCAGCTCTCCATGCCAGGGCCATGCACAGAAGGAGGCTATCACATCACCCTCTCAGGGCTCTTGGGAGACTGGTCTGCACCGTCCATAAAGCATTTCCCCATCCTGTGATCGTGGCTCTGATCAGATTGGTCTCTCCGCAGGTCTTCACAGGGGCGTACATGGTTGCTGTCGACATCATTCACTTCCTGCTGACTCTCTTTCCTGTCTGCGCGTCCAACCCCAGACCCGCACCAGGTACGTGCCCGGCGGGTCTCCCTGTCCTGCATGGTGGGGGCAGATCAGAGGGGGGAACCCCAGGTGTTAACCTGGCCCCTCCCCGGATTGGATGCATACAGTGCTGGCGGGCCCAGCATGCTACAGGGGCTGAATCCGTTCCAGGCCACACAGAAGGGACAGGCAGGTAGGACACTGGTAGGGCAGGGCTGGGGAGATGAGTGGTGAGGAGCATGCAACTGGGAGGGGGATTTGGGGAGAGGCCTGGCTGGGGAGGTGTGGCTTGGAAGGCTGGATGCTGAGGGAGTGGGGGCTGGGCGGGGGCTTGGAGGCTGGGATCAGAGGGAGCTGGGCGATGGGGAGTCGAGGGAGAAGCTGTGTTCAAAGCAGAAGGGGCTGAGTGCTCTCTGGGTGCTGGGGGAGTGCACTGGGCGTGGAGGGGGTGGGGTGGATGCTGGGGGGTGGAGGGAGAGGGCTGGGTGCTGCCTAGGATGGGGGGTTGGCAGGGATAATAGAGGGCTGGGAGACAGGGTGGGAGGGAGGTAAGGACGGTGCCCCCCCTCCCAGCGCAGCCAGTGACCCGGGGGCAGGCGAGCTCTTGGGGGATGAGGATCCCGTTTTGGGGGAGATGTTCTCCAGCAGCAGAAGCTGGAGCTGCCGAGGACCCGCTCCCTACGCTGTGCTCTTGGCTGGCACTTCCAGTGCGGGGCCAGTTCCCCGACAGGCTTTCGCTATGTCTCCCGGCTGAGACTCTGTGTCCTGCGCAGATCTGCCCGGCAGGAGGAAGAGGAGGAGGAGACAGGTGAGGAGCAGCCTCCTTGCCCTCGCTCTCCCCCTGTGCATGGGCGCCGGCTGGTACGGCCTGGCCATGGCTGCCTCATCCTGCCCCGAGGAGTTCCACGGTGCACAGAGGAGACTGCTTGGGACGGTGCTTCAGGTAACGCAGCTCCTGCTGCCCGTGTCCCTCTGGGCGGGCGGGGATCCCGTGATGGGTCCAACAGTCGCGGGAAGACAGGCGCTGTGCGGGATGTGACAGTGTGTCCGGGCAGATGAGCACGTGGGGGTGACACGCAGTGGCTGGCGGGGCCCCTACCATGCAGTGGGGGGTGCCCCGGTGGCTCCCAGTGGCTCAGGATTTCTTATCCTCCCGTCCCGCAGGAGAACACGGAAGTGCTGGGCTTTGCTCTGGGGATGCTCGCTGCGCTCATCGCCTTCACGGCCAGGATCCCCGCACTCTCTGGAGCGGTAAGTGGGCTGGCGGGAGCTTGGTAACGCCGAGCCGCTGCCGTGCCGGGAGCCCTGCACAGGGCGGGGGCCTGGCCGTGCAGTGCACGTGGCTCTGTGGCCTTGGGACAGTGGGGGTGCACAGCAGGAGGGGCACAGCCTGCGAGCTAGCTCCAAACTGGAGTGTGTCCGCCCCGGCCAGGGCGCAGGGCTGCAGCCACAGCCCCGCTGGGCCTCTTGCCCTGGTGCAACAGGGCCCTGGGTCAGTGTAGATGTGGGTCTTGTGGCCCCTCCCGGCACGCTGGGGCATGGCACTGTCTCCTGGACAGCCCCTCCCCGAGTGCCCATGTGCCAGGGTGAATCCCACCCTCTGTCTTCCCCCTGCCCGGGCCTCCCTTCCCAGCCGGCCACCGTCTCCTTAGCGCTCATGCCTGCCCTGGTACTGTTGCCCGATGCTCCGTGAGGCCCAGGGATTCTTCTCCCACGTCCTGTCCCTGTCCCCCCGGCTCCTCCAGTCTGTCTGTCTGTCTGCTCAGACTGCTCTGCCCGGCAGCGAGTCTCCTGAGGGCACACTTGACAGCGCAGCCTGCCCCTGACAGAGCCGAGGGCCTGAGCCTGCCCGTGGCAGCAACCCTGCCGTCTCCATGGGTGCGAGCGTTTGCAGGCTCAGGGCTGGGCTGCGGTCCCTGCTGCTGCCTGGCGGGCCTCGCTCTCCCTAACCCAGGGCTTGTTCTGCCCCTGCTGTAACAGCAGCGAGATCCGGGACTGCCCGGGCTGCTGCCTCGGGGAACCAGACCGAGGGGTTTACCCGTGCCCTTTGCCTTGGGCTCAGAGCCCAGGTCGACAGGGCCCGTGGGGGCGTGGAGCATGGCCGCGCTCACATTGCCCTCGCAGGGCGGTGGCGTAGAAGGAGGCAGGGCGCCAGTCCCCGGTGCCCGCGTGTGTGCCCAGCGAAGGGTATTCGGCTGTTCCCGTGTCGCCGCAGAGGCAGATACCGGCGGTGTGGGGCCTGGACCGGGCGGCAGGGAAGGCTCCCGGCCTGCGGACAGCTACGTGGACTGCGCTATGTCTGCGGCAGGGCTCTGCTGCCATGGGCGCCCCACGGGGCGGGGGGATGGCTCCTGCTGAGTCAGGGAGCCATTCTGACCTTCCCCTGCTGTCTGCAGTGCAGAGGGAGGCTGTCTCCAGCGACCCAGCTCTGGGCCAGCATCCCCTCGGCCCTGGCCAGCGTCCTGTATGCCGCGGCCATTGTGACTTACGACCAGCGGCCCGCGTACTTTGTGCGAGCCGTGCCCTGGCTCCTGCTCGCCCTGGGCTCTGCTGCGCTCGACGTGGCTGTATCCTTTCCCCGCCGGCTCCACGGGCTGGCACGGTGGGTTTGGCACCGAGGCCGCGGGCTGGGTGGGCCGTGGGGACTGAGCAGCCCTCAGCTCCAGGGCACGACGCAGGCTGCAGAGGTTAGGCCCCAGGGTCTGATGGGCCCCGAGGGCTGCGGATCCTGCCCAAACCACGCCACGCTGGCCAGCTAGGTAGTGTGGGCTGGGCATTGTCCCTGAGCCAGTGCTGGGTAGCTGCCCTCCAGGCAGCCATGTTGCGGGGCTCGTGTTACCCTGAGACACCATCACTTCCTGAACCCGGGGAGCTCAGATCGCCTGTCTGTCCTGCTTGATGAAAAGCCAGATGAGCTGGCTGGGCCTTGGGGCTGAGGCAACCGAGACCCCGGACACGTGGGCGCTGCTGGCCCAGGCGGAGGAGGAGGAGGAAGAGCCGAAGGGAGCCGAAGAGGAAAAGGTTTCTCCTCCTGTCTCTGGATTCTCCCCTGCCCTGCACCGTGTGCTGCCACTCGCCCTGCCAGGGGAGACGGCCGGGGGCCCACCCTGCTGTGACGCGCCCCGCGGTGCCTTGCCGAGGCGGTAGGGCGGGCGTGAGGCCCTTACAGGGGCGGCTGGGCCCGCTGCAGAGCTCGCTCCTGTGCTGGCCGCAGGCGGTTGAGAGCCTGCCGAGGTTTTTGTGCCTCTTGGGTTTGACATGGGCCCTTTTACCCCAGCATCCCGTTACGTCACTGCACGGGATGCAGCCTGATCCGGGGGCCCGGCTCTCCTCTGTGTGCAGAGCTGCTCCCGGCTCCTTCCTCCCACCCCCTTTGGGGGGCTGCACAGCCCACCCTGACCGCCCCTTGGGGTATCCCCCGCGCCTGCTCCCCACCTGCCCCACCGCCCTTCCTCTCCCTCTGCCCAAGAGCACCTCCCGGCTGCTCTGCTTCTTCGTGGAGCCCGCTGCGTCGCGCCGCAGTGGGAGGGAGGGAGGGAGGGACGGGTCGTTGCTATGGCCTCCATTGACGAGCTCAGCCCTGCAGTTCCCAGTGCGTGCTGGGATTTGCACACTCACTGCCCCCCTCTCTCTAAGGCCCCCAACTGGCTGCAGCTGAGCATGTTCCCGGCCCCCCCGGCGCTCCGTGAGGGGGCTGCCGTCGGTCGCCGCCTGGATCTCACCATCGAGCAGGTGCAGCCGGTGAGGCGGGAGAACAGCTGGGGCGCTGGGCGGCCGGCAGCAGCATGGAGCTGAGCTGCGGGGGGAAGGCGAGAGGCTGGCCGGGGTCGCAGCGGGCTGCGGGGGGGGCAGCCAGCCAGCGAGAGAAGCCGAGCCGAGCCGTGCTCTGTGTGTGCACACACGCCCGCCCTGCTGCCGCCTGTTCTGGGGGTGACCGGGGGCTCCTCGGTCTGCAGCTTTTGGGAGCCCTGCCCTGTAAGCACGGGGGTCTGCGACCCAACCCTCCACCCCCGTGCTCTCCCCACACAGGCCTCTCCTCTGCGGGTTTCTGATCCTCCTGCTGTGCCCTGTGATTGTACCTTGGTAAATCCTGCTCCCTGCTACGTCCAGGCTGGCCGCGGTGCAGTGAGGCTGCCGGGAGATGGACAGACGAGTGCTGCAGACCCCGCCCTGCCGAAGCCCCCTGCCTACCCTCCAGTCCAGGTCATCCACGCCAAGCTCTCCCCCTCCAGCTCCTCAGTCGTCTCCTCCATTAGCTCCGAGCTCGAGGTAGGTGGTTGATGCTGGTCATCTGCACTGGATCCTGCGCGAACCCCAGCCTTTTGCCTTGAACTCGGCCCGCCCTGCCTTAAGTAGTGCACGGAGCACAGAGCCCGCTAGCCCCAGGCCAGGGACCGTCCCACCCAGGTGTGCGTGTGGCAGTGAGAGAACCCCCCGTGCAGGCCGAGTCCCCAGAGTATCCTGGCTAATTGCCACATGATAGGGTCCGGTCACAAGAAGCCAGCTCCCCTGATAACCAGATATCCCCCCCCCACACACACACAAACAAACACACACGTGCGCACACACACAGGGGCTGCGGTAGGGCCCCTCTCCATCTCTGCCTCGCTGACTGCCGTGGGGCGGGCCGGAGGGCCAGGGCAGTTCCCACTCGGGCAAAGCGCCGCTTGCTGTTAGCAGGAGCTGGCAGGGCTGATTGTAAACTAAAGACTGAAACGGAGCTCAGCACGTAGCCCATGCTTACTGCGTCGTAGCCAGGGCTGGGCACGTCGCCCCATATTAAACCTGACCTCATCTCCCAGGAGAAGACCCTGGTTTTGTTTGCTTCAACCTTTTCCAGACTGCCACTGTTTAAGCCGAAAGTCCCAGGCTCGGGGCTGCCTCCGGCTGAATTGTATTTTGAAGATTTCACCCAAGATGGTTTGGCTGGGTCCAAGAATGAGGCTGAGAAAATACGTCGTTTGGGCCAGGTTAAAAACTCGGGAGACCTTTTATTTCAAAAGTTCTCGCTGACGCTCCCCACCCCTAGTCTCCATCACCCCCCGGCTCGCAGCAGGGATTTACCATTTGGCAGACATGAGCTGGGGGCAGGGATGTGCTTTTTGCCATCTCTATGAAAATCCATCCAAGTCTGGCCAGTTTATAAGCTGTGGAGACTGGCTGGGCAAAGGGACTGGAACAAGGGGCCGGGGCGGGAGGACACTGGGATTGGATGAGGAGCCCAAGGAGGGGGTTTGAAACTGGGAACCACTCGGGGATGGAGGCGCAGCGGGAGAGAGACGTTTGATGAGGACCAGGATGGGAGGGATCTGGGTTGAGAGGGCTGAGACTGACTAGGTGAGGAGGGAAGAACTGGGATGAGGAGCCGGGGTGGGGAAGAGACAGGACAGGGACAGGTTGGCGGGATGGGGCAGAAAAGGTCACACTTGGGGGGAAATGGGCAGAAGAGTCTGTGCCCACTAGAGCACACTCCCCTCCGGAGCCTGGAATGGGAACCCAAGATGTCTGAGTGTCCTCATTCCTCTGCTGTTAGCAAATAGCTGTGAGACCCACTGGCAAAGTGGCCCATCCCCCTTTAGAGCTGGCTCACATAGCGGATGACAGCCTACTACTGCTGCCAGTCACACTGTTAGCTCAAGTGGCAGAGGTGCGTGCAGTGGATCTAAAGGTTCCAACCCTGCGGCTGACCTTTGTGGGTGTCAGCGTAATGCCACATGACAGAATTTCTGTTTATTCCGTTTGCGGTTTAACAAAGCCTAGGAGACGTACACACGCACAACTGCGTTAAGGGCACATTATTACGGTTACAAAGTCAAGCCCACAAAAGTAGGGAAATGCTGGAATTACATTTGCCCGGGCAACCTTAATTCGCCCCGTTGTGCTGGTGCATCAGGATACAGTCTTTAATTAGGTGATCACGTACAATTTTGATCATAGGCCCCCTTCTCTGGGGCTGAACAGCGTTGGGTAGTGAGGAGGCTGTGTCTACAGGACCCCCAGCGTTACTTGTTGCAGAAGTTGGAAGGTGTGTACCGATAGTGGGGCTGGGAGACTTCAGGCCTAAGCCAGCCAGTTTGGAAAGACTGAGAAAGTGATTGGGGCAGGAGATTGCAGGAAGAGAAGGGATGGTCTCATGGTCAAGGCAATTGAATGCTGTGCTGGGGAAATGGATTCATAGAATCATAGAATCATAGAATATCAGGGTTGGAAGGGACCCCTGAAGGTCATCTAGTCCAACCCCCTGCTCGAAGCAGGACCAATCCCCAGTTAAATCATCCCAGCCAGGGCTTTGTCAAGCCTGACCTTAAAAACCTCTAAGGAAGGAGATTCTACCACCTCCCTAGGTAACGCATTCCAGTGTTTCACCACCCTCTTAGTGAAAAAGTTTTTCCTAATATCCAATCTAAACCTCCCCCACTGCAACTTGAGACCATTACTCCTCGTCCTGTCATCTGCTACCATTGAGAACAGTCTAGAACCATCCTCTTTGGAACCCCCTTTCAGGTAGTTGAAAGCAGCTATCAAATCCCCCCTCATTCTTCTCTTCTGCAGGCTAAACAATCCCAGCTCCCTCAGCCTCTCCTCATAAGTCATGTGTTCTAGACCCCTAATCATTTTTGTTGCCCTTCGCTGGACTCTCTCCAATTTATCCACATCCTTCTTGTAGTGTGGGGCCCAAAACTGGACACAGTACTCCAGATGAGGCCTCACCAATGTCGAATAGAGGGGAACGATCACGTCCCTCGATCTGCTCGCTATGCCCCTACTTATACATCCCAAAATGCCATTGGCCTTCTTGGCAACAAGGGCACACTGCTGACTCATATCCAGCTTCTCGTCCACTGTCACCCCTAGGTCCTTTTCCGCAGAACTGCTGCCTAGCCAGTCGGTCCCTAGTCTGTAGCGGTGCATTGGATTCTTCCATCCTAAGTGCAGGACCCTGCACTTATCCTTATTGAACCTCATCAGATTTCTTTTGGCCTAATCCTCCAATTTGTCTAGGTCCTTCTGTATCCTATCCCTCCCCTCCAGCGTATCTACCACTCCTCCCAGTTTAGTATCATCTGCAAATTTGCTGAGAGTGCAATCCACACCATCCTCCAGATCATTTATGAAGATATTGAACAAAACCGGCCCCAGGACCGACCCTTGGGGCACTCCACTTGATACCGGCTGCCAACTAGACATGGAGCCATTGATAACTACCCGTTGAGCCCGACAATCTAGCCAGCTTTCTACCCACCTTATAGTGCATTCATCCAGCCCATACTTCCTTAACTTGCTGACAAGAATACTGTGGGAGACCGTGTCAAAAGCTTTGCTAAAGTCAAGAAACAATAAATCCACTGCTTTCCCTTCATCCACAGAACCAGTAATCTCATCATAGAAGGCGATTAGATTAGTCAGGCATGAGATTCTCTCCCTGCCTCTGCTACAGAGTTCCTGTGTGGTGCTGGGCAACTCACTTAAACCAAACTTTTCCCAGGTGGTCCTAATTGTGTGGTTGTCATTTTCTGGGTGCCTGACGTGAGTTCCTGGGGTTTGATTTGCAGCAGTTCTGAGCACTCACAGCTGCAACTGACGTCAATAGGAGTGTGCTGTGAACATTTAAAGCGCTGTACAGTGCTGAGTACGCTGAAAAACCAGGTCCTAGGTGTCTCAAACTGGGAACCCCTGTAAAATAGGGATAATACCCATTCATCTCACAGTGGTATTGTGAAGATTGCTTGATGTTTGTGAAGCACTCAGGTGATGAGAACCATAGAAAAGCCCATGAGGACATGAATAATTCTGGTGTCAGAGCAGGTCTTGAATAGCGCGCAGGAAATAAAACCTGGGGCTAGACCCTACAACCCAGCTGGAACCCCCCGGGACCCGAGTATAAGCATCGGCTTAGGTGTAATCTGTATAGTGTGTGTTCGGCCTCGGTTCAGGTCAGGTGGTCTGTTAGCACCGCGGGTGCCGACGACACTGTTCAGGCCCTACTTGGGCCTGCTCCTGCCCCCCAGTGTGTACCTCAGCCCCCCCCATTCAGAGTTAGCTTCTGCCGCCTCTGCTAACACCGCCCCCCATCACCCCAACTCCTACTCCCTGGCCCTATTGTGGGCTCTGCGGCAGCCCCTCTGGGTCCCGCTCTCACCTCCATCCCCCGGCACGAGATGCATGGGGGTGGAAACATACGTCCACCCCACAGCATTTCCACGGTGGGATGCTAGCCCCCAGTGTTCCCCCGGTTCTGCCCCGCCCTCTGATGTTCTTGTTCACAGGTTTAAGCCAGCAAGTCCTTCCTTGCGCTTTCTTTTCTTTTCTCAGGTTGGGTGTGAAAACAATGCAACCCTCATGGGCATGGGTCAGGTTGGGACTGGCTGTGTCTAGTCTGGTTCGGGTGGAGCTATCCAGTTAGTCTGGAGCAGAGCTCTGCGTGGGACCTCCCGCACCTCACTGAACAATGAGGAGAAAACAAAACACCAAGCAGCTGCTCTTGAGCGGTCACTGTCCTGCCCGCCCGCTGAATGAGGCAGGGATCCTGTGGCAAAGCAGTACGTGAGCATGTAACTACAGACACTATCATGATGCATACATACCGGGGTGAATTAAGGGGGCCTGGGCAGCCTTAATTCTGGAGCATCCGAACTTTGGAGTGCTTGCCTTTGCAGCCTTAATAATGTTCTTTTCACGCTACTTCAGTGTAGTCAGAGCGAGCGTACATGGCCCCAGCCGTGTGAACCCTTATGCAGAGTTGTTGTTTCTGGTTTAAATGCCTGCAGATGGCACCGGGTCAGAACCTGGACTGGCCAATCCTTGAGCGGCCCCTTCCCTGGGCTGGCTCAGTGTGGTGGTTGGCACCTTCTCTGCTTGCTGGAGGCTGCCTGCGGAGCTGAGCATTGCAGGGCCCGAGTGCTCTGCTTAGGCATATTCCGTAAGGGGTCAGACTGGCCTCACATTGTCTCAAAGCCAGCAAGGAGCATGAGGACAAACCCTACCCTGGTTGCCCCTCAACACCCTCATTTTCACTCTGAGAAGAGGAGGGAACGCAGAGCTGGATCTCCAGTGGGCTCCGAAATGCAGGTTCTGAACTCGGGGCTGCCAGGAGTGTTGTCTCGGGAAAAGGGCTGATGGGTTTTGCAGGGCTTTTGTTTGTTATCTTTGCATGTTCCCTCCTGCTTTGCCACCTTGCAGGCTGATATGGCACATATGCGACTATCGGCAAAGGAAACGGTTTCTTTCGTAGTTCTGGGGAAATGCCAGCTCCCCTCAGGCCTGCTTTGCTCCTCCCCAGTAGGAGATTTCTGCATCGACTCATAGCTGCTGCTGTCAAACTGCGAGATGTTTCATAGAAACTCTGCAAAGCCCGTCACAGTAGCTGGGGCGATTTCTGTCCTGAGCTCCGTGCATGCAGCTCGCCCTGGAGCAGGGCCGTCCCTTGGAAGGTAGAATTCGGCCCACAGTGGTGCGATCCCAAGAGCTGGACAATCCACGTGCTCGAGGGAGGGCAGGGGAGCAAATACTGGACTATTTTATATAGTTCTAAAAATGAGACCATTCTGTTCCAGAACGTACATGGGAACGCTCCGCATCCCTGCCCCTTGGTCTGACAGAACAGAGAGCGCAGAAAACCTCTGCCAGCCCTACCACCCGTGCTCCGTGCTGGCCTGGGTTCCCCGGCCTGGTGTTCTCAGAGATTCCTGTCTGATGCTGGCATTTCTTACCATGTCCCTGGCGTGTCAGCAGGCGTCTCTGTGGGAACAAATGGGTTTATGGCAGGAGATTACAGCAGGTCAAAGCCCCTTCCATCTGAGCTAGCACTTGCCTTGCACCAGGACCAGCACAGTTACCATATGGAGGGGGACAAACAAAAACACATTTTGATTCTGTAAAGTTTGTTTTGTTTCGCTTCTGTTTTTTAAAAACACCTGCAGCTGGTAACTGGTTCCTGTAGGAGCCACGCTGCACATGAGAGAGAAACTCTTCAGATGATTGGGGCAAGGTGGCTGGTCAGTGCCATGGGTTTGCACTCCATGTCCATAGGCCGTACGCTGTTTGACAGTCACTGTATCTTTGAATAATGACAGGTTTCAGAGTAGCAGCCGTGTTAGTCTGTCTTCACAAAAAGAAAAGGAGGACTTGTGGCACCTTAGAGACTAACCAATTTATTTGAGCATAAGCTTTCGTGAGCTACAGTATGCATCCGATGAAGTGAGCTGTAGCTCACGAAAGCTCATGCTCAAATAAATTGGTTAGTCTCTAAGGTGCCACAAGTCCTCCTTTTCTTTTTGTATCTTTGAAAATATACGAGATGATGGAGCTCTTGGTGGCTGAAATGCTCGTGGCAGCTAGGGGTCAGTATTTCCAAGTTACAGCGCGGAGCAGCCCTGGGATAGTTGACAGACCCACGCAGCCTGTCCTTTGCTACGGCTGGTGTTCTGGGCCCTTGCAGACCCCACACTGAAATGGCTCCTGCGTTTGTTTGGACAGACTGACATTCTCAAATGGATTGTGTTTCTGTGACAGTGTCTCACACACCTGGTGAAATCATGTTTTCCTTGCAGTGGTTCTTACCCCCAGCTCCCTTTGCACACTCGCTCGCCCACTCTCTTCAGGTTTATTTTGCAAATAAGAAGTCCCTGTATTTCTCTGCCCGCTGCGGCTTTCCTGCTCTCAAAAGCTGCTTGTGAATCCTCCCATGTGGCTCTCCCCACCTTGGCTAGGTACCAGAGCGAGGTGTAAAGAGAAGGGATCTGAGCTGGGCTGTTTGGTGGTGGCTGCTCTAGATCAACTCTTTTCTTGATCTTTGTTTTTCTTCTGCAGCAAAAGTACAGGGAGGCCTTAAACTCAGAACAGGTATGGAGAACTGTCACTTTGCTTCGCGCGGGCGTGCGAGGGGGAGGCCGGGACCAGGGGACACCCATGTCTGCCAAGCTTCTTTCACTTTAAATCCATGGATCATTACCACTGCAGTCTCTCTTGGTTTAGATCAGGGGTGGGCAAACTTTTTGTCCCAAGGGCCACATTGGGATTGCAAAACTGTATGGCGGGCCGGGTAGGAAAGGCTGTGTCTCCCCAAACAGCCTGGCCCCTGCCCCCTATCTGCCCTGTCCCACTCCCCCCCCCCACTGCCCCCCTCAGAATCCCCAACCCATCCAAACCCCTCTGCTCCTTGTCCCCTGACCACCCCCCTTCCGGGACCCCCTGCCCCTAACTGCCCCCCCTGGAACCCCACCCCCATCCAACCGCCCCTTCTCCCTGTTCCCTGACCGCCCCATCCCGGGACCCCCCACCCCTATCCACACCTCCACCCCCTGACAGGCTCCCCAGGACTCCCACACCTATCCAAACCGCCCCCCGTTCCCCATCCCCTGACTGCACCCCCCCCAGAACCTCTGTCCCGTCCAACTGCCCCCACAGGCCCCCCGGGACTCCCACACTATCCAACTGCCCCCTGTCCTCTGACTGCCTCCTGGGACCCGCCAGCCCTGGCCCCCTTACCATGGCTGCAGGGGAGGGGCCGGGGGCTAGCTCAAGGGCCGGGCAGGATGTGGCCTGGGGGCCATAGTTGCCCACCTCTGGTTTAAATGCATGAGACATCACAAGACCCAGAAAGAGGCCAGATTGCAGGGCAGGAAATAATCACTCATAAATTAAAGAAACATAATGTGTGTGCTTTGTCCTTTGTGCCATCCCGGGGAGAGGTTCTGTTCTCAGGCCTGCTGGTGTAAATCTGAAGTGACTCCACGGACCCTTAGTGGAGCTACTCTGGATTTACACTGTTGCACAAGAGTAGAGTCTCCCCCATGATCTCCAGCCCAGTGTCGTTTTTACGTCACAGAACTAGTTGAGGTCAAAGAGGAGAGAAGGCGTCTAATCTCCCCTAAAGGAAGTTACCCCACCTCCAACTGGCTTTCACTGACTGCAGATAAAGGAACAATGATGATAAACTCCAAACAGCCCCGGACTCCAGAAAGCCGTATCCCCTGGGCTGGCACACATCAGCCATGAGGCGTCGCAGCCAGCGCCGGGTTCATCTTGTGGCTTTGAAGTTTTATAGCAACAGAGATGTCTCCTGTGGGGCAGAGGGCAGAAATTCTGCCGACCCGTTCCTGGGAAGGAGATGGCTCAGGGGCTGGGGAGCAGAGGGGCGTCCAGCTCTGTAGTGCTAGGAGCAGCTTGTGTGAATCGTGTGATCTCAGTCCCGTCCATCCACTCTCACAGCTGGCGGAGAGGTCAAGCAGGGCTTGCACTGTCTGTCCCCCCGAGAGATGCCCCTCCAGGACAGATCTGGGGGCGCAGGCTGTGTGGCACGAGCTTGCGCCCCCGGCTGGTATGCAGCGTGGGCAGGCAGGTGCCCCCTCACGAGCGCTAAATGAACAGGGGCAGAAAGGGAGTTCACGCTGACCTGTGGGATCCCAGGTACAGTATGTGCCACATGGACCCATAGGAGTTGTGGGTGGAGCTTGGGGACTGAATATCGCCACTTTTCTCCCTGTTCTGCCCTCTGAGGGTGATCCTGGCTGCATTGTGGGAAGTCACGTGGGTCCGCAGTGCGGTGACTAACCTGGGTGTGTGGGATGTGAGTGTGTTTTATCATGGCTACCCAGTGTCTCCCCGTGCCCCCCCCACCCCCCCGGTGCGGACCTGCCCGGTGTGACACGGGAGGTGAATTGAGTTGCTCTGCCTGAGGGCTGGAGGAGTTTGTATGTGTCACTAAAGCCCCAGGAGGGCTCGGTACATCTGGGCCATTGTTCCATGAGCCCAGGACGGGGGCTGCAAGTCAGGGCGGGCATGAACTGGCATCTAGTGCTGTCACACAGCATGGCCTCAAGCCCTTTCTGAAGCAATGGTTTTAAATGATGGACTTCAGTCCATCAGCTGTGTGATCCCGTAGAGCCACTGGCTAGTTATATGAGGGGCTGAAGAGGTGAATACTGCCTGGAATCCCATGGGCCTCGTTCTGCACGGATGTGGGTACAATGCAGAAAACGTTCCTGACTCCAGAACGGCTGAAAGCCCTTCTGTTGATGTCTGCAGATATTTCTGAGGTTGGTAAGACTGAGCTGGAACTGTGTTTACCAGTCAGGTGGCCTGAGTGGCACATGAGTGTATCCTGATTACCTGCAGTGAGTGCCAGGAGAACTCCCAGGTGATGAACAGCTGGTTCTGGAGCACTCGCTATCGTTTTCTCGTGACAATCCGTTGGGTTCAAAGGGACGGACTGTTACTCCTCGGGGCTGAGTGCTGCACTGGAGAGAGCGCCAGCCGGGTATTTTCGGCAAAGATGTAGACGGTACAGTGAGCCTCATACTGACCTCTTCTCAACAGCAAGATCCATTGTCCCTTGAAGTAGAAGTTGGCTGAGGCTTCTCAGTTAGCAGCCCTCGATAGTCACCTTAATGGAGATCAGTCTCTGCTCATTAGCTGAACAGTAATGGCCGGAGCTGGTTAGAAAACCACCGAGAGCTGCTAGAGAGTTTTCACTCTGCCAGGATCCGACAGGGGCGGCTTTTCCTTTCCTTCCACATTTTTTCATGAACATTTTTATCAAAAATGTTTGATTTCAAAAATGTTTTTTCTCAGTTTGGTTCCCCCTTTTCCCTGTTTTTTTTCCATTTTCCATCTTACTGCTCGCAGTGGAAGGGGGAGAAGGAAAGGAGAAAATGAAAAGCCTATCCCAAAAAGGGTTCCATGGGAAATTTTGTTGAACATTTTTTTAAAATGAGAATTTTGTGACAATTTCTATTTTCAGATAAAGTTTGAATTCAGGTGGTTTCCGCCCTGTAAAACCGGCCTGAGCGGCTCCCGTGTGGCCAATCTGCATCCCGTGGAGAGCAGACCCCACTTCTGTAGGAGCTCCGGCGCTACAGACCTGCCTTGTCCCTGTAACCCGAAATCCTTTCTCTTCACAGTGGGACTTCGAAGACATGAATCTTCAGTGGAACAGAAACAGCACCGAGGCGCCAACCATCCAGCCCAGCCGCAGCTCGCTGCTGAATGCAGGCTTCGGATTTGATGTGAACGCCTTCAAACAAACCGCAGCTGCTCTCAGACTGTGTGATAATGATGGCCCCTGGGCAGAGAAATCATAGCAGGTAACTCAAGCAACCAGCAGAAGAAAGATGCTGTGTAGAAGATCCCTGGAGGTCCAGGCTACAGCAGTACTGTGGGCCAGATCCGGGGGTGCAGCTGGTTTACTGAGGGCAGGGAGTGGGTGCAAATGTAGCTCAAATCTCACCTGTGTACTTCCCTGATCCTGCTGCAGCTTTGTGCAGGGCGGCTTCTTCTGCACTGGGCTGGAGCAACCTGAAGGCCACTCAAACAGACCCTGTCTGCAAACAGCCCCAAGGAGCTGCAAACGTAGCTGGGATTCAGAATGGCCTGGAGTGTCCTGGCCACGGCCCTGTTCCTCTTTTCCCTGCTGCACTTGCAGTGGGGGCGGGGAATGGCAGAAGAGCCCCATAGTCAGCGTTCTTCTGCCAGAGACTCACTGTGACGCTGGGGCAACCCACCCCTGGCCCTTTTAAAATGGGGGGGCTTACACTGACTGCACCTCACTGGGAATGCTGCTGTGTCTGCACTAATCAGGGCTGAAACGCTCCTATTGCCTTGTGAGTATAACTGACCCTTGTGGGGAGGGAGGGCATGGGGGCAGTTTCCCCGCCCTGGCACCATTTTAAGTCACGCAGCCCCGTAGCAAAGGTCGGGTTGGCCGTAGCCCATCGATCAGGGTTTCCAGCCCTGCTCCCCGAGCTTCAGGGATGCACTTCTCACCGCGTCCCTGCTGGTGCCAGAAGGGGGAATGTGCCCTGACAGGTCAGTAACAGGAGCGCGTCCATCTCCCTGGCCGGAGTCGGGACTTCAGAGCTGCCAGTCCCAGGACAAATTCAGAGGAGAAATAACGTGCCGATGTTTGACCACGAGGGTAACTGACCGGCGTTGCAGCGCTTCTCCATTACATCCAGAGAGGGTTTCTGGCCGATCTGCTCTGGTTCAGCCCCGCCACTTGGACTGAGAGCGGGGAGTAGCTCAGGGGAGTCCTCGGGCCTGTGCTGGGCAGGTCACAACAGGCCCTTCTGGCCTGGGCATCCCTGTGTGGCTCCTCTCAAACAGCAGATTCAGACTCACCATCCAGCGCCCTGGCTGGCGTGAGCGGGTGAAGCACAGACTGCCGGTGCTGCATCACTTCCGCTAACAGTGCATGTGGCCCCCTTTACAGGCCTCCCTTTATCTGCCTGTAACTGGCCGGATTCTGACCGGGCCTTGCCTACACGAGACAGGGTTAGCTGGTGTGGCGGGACAGGCAGAGCGACGCTGGCTCCCACCAGCTCCTGGCCCGGAAGAAGCTCTGCTGTTTCTGGGTTGCCTGCGCCCGCGCGAGGGTGGTTGCTGCCCAGGCTGTGTCAGCTGTGTGTGTGCGGGGGGGTTGTCACAGTCCCACTACCACAGCTGGGCTGGCCTTCGGCCTGGGAAAGAGCTGCAGCGGGACGCAGGTTTGGAATCCCTGTTTCCTTGGCCAGTTGGGGTGCCCTGTCGCCCCGGGGGCCCCCCTCGTGCTCCGTAGCCTTGGTGCTGTGGGCTCTTGGTATCACAGGGCCCCCGCACGCAGATCACTGGTGTCTGAAATACGGCTTGGTCGAGCCCCAAGCCCCCCTTTGTCTGCACCTTTTCGCGCCGCTCCTCCTAGCGCAGAGAGGCTGCTAGGAGTGGGATCGCAGCCGGCCGGCGGGCTGCGCCCCAGGGATAGCTGTGAGGGCTGAACGCTGGGGCGGGGCGCTGTTGTGACCCGAGAGGATGGTGTGAGAAGCCGGCAGAACGCCTGTGTGCGCTGGGTGCGGCAAGGCGGGGGTGCAGCTGGGAGGTTTCAGGTCCCGCACTGCAGCGAACAGCAGGAGGGTGCGTCCCGCCCTGCCATCTCCACTGTGTGAACGTGGAGCCAGCTCTGCGGCCGGGCAGGTGCTCAGGAAGAGGCGCTGGGGCAGAGGGGTAATGCCCGGCTCGCTTCAGCTGGGAGGAGCCGGCCCAGGCAGGTGTGGGTGGGAAAGGCTCTCCTTCTCTGTTATGCTGTTGGGTCTTAGAGCATCACCTATAGACCCCTATAGACCGTTCCAGGCGGAGGGGTCACAGGCTCCCTTCGTCACATTGCGGTGGGAGATTGCCATCCCATGACCGTGTGCCCTGGCTGTTCTGCCCCTTCTGCTCCCCAGAGTCCCTCGCGGCTCTGCTCCATTCCCACGGCAAAGCTGGAACCCCTCCGCTCTGCACCGCCACCCACAGGCAGCTGTGCCCAGGGCCCTGAGCCCAGGCTTGGGGCTTGTTGAGCACCAGGCCCGAGGAGCTGCTCCTGCGTACCAAAGGCACAGCAAACGGGAGGGCGGCCTTGCTGTGCATTCCTAGGACACTGAGCTGCCCTCACCCTGGGGCTCCACTCTCCTCACCCCTGACTTCTGGGAATGCAGCACATGCGAGAAGACGACATCTGACTAGAGCGCCTGGCCTTCTGTCGCTCACGATCTGATCTCGCAGCCCCAGCCTGCCTGGCGCTGCTCCTCTCCAGGTAGATGACCCATCTGGCAGCTGCCTCGGGCAGCGAACATACACAGTTGTTCAGGGAGCGAGTGGCTGTGACCTGCGCTGGGTCAGACGCTCCTTTTGCTCAGAACAGCAAAACATTCCCGAGCCAGTGCTGATAAGAAACCTCCACATTAATATTTCTAATGGCTGGAGATTAATTGCCTGGTAGTAAAGCTCAGAAATCCAGACAATGCAAAGACTGGAAACCCAGGGAAAGGAAATTCTTCTGCTGTATTGCCTTTTCCTATTCAGATAATGCACAATAAAATATGAGCGTGCAAGTCAGCGCCTGGGGAGGCTGCCTCAGTCGTGTCCAGAGCAGTACCACTTGCAGATATGCCAGGAGAAACCCTGGAGCAAGTGATCTCACGTGTTGTGCAAGGGGGCAGACGGGCTCTGCTGCCTTCGGAGGGGTAGGTAGTGAGCAGTCGTATTCATGATGCTTTACACGTCCCTGGTATCTTCTCACCGAGAATCTCAAAGCCCCAGGCACACATGAACTGCTTGCCCGGCCGACACTGCGAGGATGTAGGCAGGTCTTTGGCCCATGGGGAGGTGGGCAAAGAGAGGTGGCTTGGAAGACTCAGGCAGCCCGTCTGGCAGAGCTCAGATCCCGTGTCTCGCAGGTGCGTATCCCGTTACCGCGCGGCCTCCAGCTCATACACGGTGGGGACAGGGAAGGGAGATAGTGAACGGATGTTTGGACAACAGCAAGCGGGTCACAACGCCCTGTAGGGCAAATCCTGCTCCCTGCGCCCACGCGTAATCCTGCTGGTCTCCGGGGGATCCTGGCCTAGCAGCGCTGTGCCCTGGGGCAGAGGCAGTGAAGTGTGTTCATGTGCCCTGCTGGCCTCCAGTGATTGTGAGTGTGATGAGTCTGGCGTTCTCTAGGCCGCAGAGGACACCTCCCCGGCCCCAGCCGCTCTGCCGCATGGAACAATTGGAGCCTGGCATTGCTGGGCCCCGGATGGGAATAGCTGGGCTTAGGCGGGCCTGGGGTGGAGCTGGATTTGCAGGGTGGGGAGGGGGTTTGCACGTCTGCTCACATTTTGCCGTTTCACCGATTCATGGAGTTTAAGGCCAGAACGGACCATTAGATCACCCAGTCTGGCCTCCTGCATCACACACGTCGCCCGTTACCCTGTGTTGGTCCCAGCAACTTGGGTTTGGATCCTGCATCTCGGAGCCAGTGCGTTCAGGTTCCTCAGGATCTGCCTCCATCCTGCAATGCAAGGAGAGCTGGTTCTCCTCTGCCGGCTCCCCTGCAATCTGCTGACTCCAGGGTACAAACCAGGATGGCACTTGGTTGAAAATCTGCAAGCAGAGTATGTGTATGAGAACAAGGGGTCAAAAAGTGTTTGCCCTTCCAAGACATTTACTAGAAAACTGAGTAAAGACTGGCGGTGATATCGGGGGGAGGGGAGACTGAGAGGTTAGGGGCAATAGGGGACCTTGAAGGGTCAGGCTGGGCAGGGAGTGGGGCCGCAAGATTTTCTTTGCTTTCGAGTAATAAAATGTTCAGTGCCTGGTAGCCTCCAGACTTGTCTTTTGTGAGCGCGGGGGCCACGACCCACGGGCTGAAGGGGGTGAGGGGCTTTACAATATTCACCATCTGTTGGGGTGTCCCTGTCTGTCAGCATCTGGCATAGCAGGAATGTATGCCCCTGTCTGCCCTGGCCTGCGGCCACAACCGCTCCCATGCCTGCCCCAACGGCCGTATGTGGTGACTCGAAGCCGTGGCCCCCGGTGCTGGTGGAGGCTAAGGGACAAGTTCCCTGTGCGGTGTTTTTCAAGGGGAAAATACCTAGTCCGGCTTGGTGCAGGTGCTGTTCTGTAGCCAGGCTCTGAATTGGGCAAGCCTCAGCCCATGACAGGCATGCTGCTGCTGCGAGATCTGGATCCGCCAGCTTCCCTGCCACAGGCCGGCGTTATGAAAGTGGTGACACAAAGAGGTTCTGTATGTCGGCTGTGCCCCGGCCCCCGGCCTCGTAGCCCTGGCTGGTAGGCCTCCTGCCCCCGCCTGCCCTTGGCCTAGTTACTCTACATCACAAACGGGGTCGGGCTTTGTGGAAGTGACATAACTTATGCCTGGGGTGCGGCGACCCCCCACCCCCGGCCGCTGGGGAATGCAGCCCCATGTGGCTCAGCCCCGGATGGATTCCAGCCCTGAGAGCTGGCGTGAGTTCATGTCACCGTTGGGTGCCTATCCCGGGCCACCAAAGGGGTGGCTCGACCCTCTCCACAGCCTGTTGTGCTTCCATGTGGGTAGCTGGCAGGCGAGCTCTGTGCTCTGGGACGTCCCGTGCTCATTACGCTCCTGTCCTGGGAGCTAGCCAAGGACAAAGTCTCTTGGGGCTAGCGCTGGGGCTGGGACCTGCCGGGGGCGTGGTGAGAGAGCGCAGTGTTAGAGGAGCATCCCGCTGGTCCTGAGGAGGTGCCCCCCACACTCAGACAGGCACTGCTTGTCCCGGGAAGTGGCGAGAGGAGGTGATGGACGTCACTGGATGGACTGGGGCTGAACCCCGGTTTCACATCCCGCACGTCCTCGCCCATTTTGAGACCCCACTGCCTCGCACGGGGATGGGCCTGGAGCTCATCGGCAGTTCTCCTGGGGCCTGGCTGGAGGGGTGAGGTGGAATTCCTGGCTCCCATTCACCCAGGCCTGGGCCCTGTCAGGTGTGTGCATGCCCCAGAGTGGTCACGGGACGCTCGCGCCGACGCTCGACCTGTCTCTTAGCACCCAAGGCCCAGGTACTGCGGTGCCCAAGGAAAAGCCTGGCACCCTTCGTTCTCTCTGAGCCTGTAACTCTTGCACTCAGCCTCCCTTTGCCCCGCCAGAGTGGCTGCAGCATTGTCAGAGGTTGTGAGCAGCCCCGGGGCGAGGCAGAACCGCCCCATGGCTATTGTGTCAGGAGCGCCGGGTGGCTCTGGTTCCAGCAGCCGAGGCCAGAGGAATGTGGCTCGGTGCCAGAAGCTGCTGATAAAATCTCTTCTTGCAAAGGAGTTCGAGTCCCCACTCTCCTGCCGGCGATGTAATCTGCTCAGCGCTTGCCGGGCAGTGATAACGGACTCGGCCTCATGCGGCCCGGACTCAGCGCGCTCCGGCTGTGAACACAATGAGGAGCGAGCAAGCCCTGCCCGGGCTCAGGGTGCACTTTAACCTCGGGCGGGTCCAGGCTCCCCCAGCCCCTCCACCGCTTGGAACAATAGCCTCTGTGGGTGATTACGGAAAATCACATGCTTATTCCAGCTGCAACCAAACCAATTTGTCAACGTCCCATTTTCATTTCCCCCGATAAGACAGGGCCGGGGAGTACAATAATCCCTTCCTGAGAGACAGCTGCGGCTCCCCTCCCCAAAACACACACAGCAGGGAGGCTAATTTTGGCCTCTCTGGGCTTAGTGGGAGCAAGTCGCAGTTTTTCATTCCAGCTGGGGCTGGGATTCCAGGGGACGGGCAGGGAGCCTCTGTCCCAGCAGCTATCTGCAAATCAGAAGAAAATTCTAGGAGTAACAGAGCATGGAAAGGTGGTTTCCATCTCCTGGGCTGCGCTGTGTGGGAATAGCCAGCAAAGATGAGGGATCGGTTTAGCCAAGACAAACTCCCATTTCTGCCACTCATTCACTGCGGGTTGGACAAGTCATTTGACCACCCCGTGCCTTAGTTTCCTCATCTGTAAAATGGTGGGAGAGCTATTTACCCTCCTGTGTAAAATGCTTTGAGAGTCTCCAGTGTGATGTGCCAAGCAATATTATTAAAAACACTGCACGTTTTAAAGCCCCTACGCCCACATCAGAACAGTCCCCCAAACACGACACAGCCTGCTTCAGAAGCAACCTGCAGGGGAAAGAACCCACATAGCAGAAGATGGGTGCAAAGAGGAGTGAGGAGCCAGCCCCAAAGGGTGCTGGGAATGCACCCAGAATGCCTTGGGCCCAAAGCACCAATTCCATTCTCCGCACCCCCTGCTGGTTAAGTGAACGTTCGTTGCTCAGCCATGAGCCACGTGCTTCTGTTCTGTGGTGGTGCCGTTTTTGTCTCCTCACTTTTTTGGAACTAAAGATCAGAGCAGCTGCTTAAAGCTCCGCTCCGCCTGCTCCCTCCAGGAGCGTGCAGCTTGCCCTGACGCACACCTCCAGGAGGGCAGGCATGCGGCTCTCTTTGCCATGCCCTCGCTCAGTGTGGGCACTCCTGTCACTATTTAGTCTCTTGCCCCCTGAATTGTTTTGCTGCCTCAATGAGTTTTTGTTTGTTGTAGTTATGGAAAATCCCCCGGTTATGTTATTTGCAAAGCTGCAGCTCAGACTTCACCGCTGTGCGCGATCTGGGCAAGACCAGTGCAAATGTCTGTCCCTGAATGACCAGGAGGTCTAAACCTTCCCACCCTGCTCCCCCAGGGCAGGCCTGCTGCATCAGAAGGGGCTGGTTTCACAAAGCCCCATTTTAGAGCAGAACACTGTTTCAAAGAGGGATTTAAAAGAGGACAGAGAAAAGCGGAACAGATTCAAGACTCCAGACTAATCTCCAGGGCATGAAGCTCAGGGAACCAAACTTATTATGGACATTAGAGTGGAGAGCATGCTTATAAAATTCTCAGATGACACTACACTGGGAGGGGTTGCAAGCACTTTGGAGAGCAGGATTAGAATTCAAAACAGCTGTAACAAAGTGGAGAATTGGTCTGAAATCAACAAGATAAAATTCCATAAAGACAAGTGCAAAGTACTGCACTGAGGCAACTCCATAACTACACAACGGGGACTAACTGGCCAGGGCCAGCACAGCTGGACAGGATCTGGGTGTTCTAATGGATCAGAACTTGAATATGAGGCAACAAAGTGATGCCGCTGTGAACAAGGCTAATATCATCCCAGGGTGTATTAACAGAAGTGTCATATACAAGACTGTGACTGAATGCACCCCTGTATTCACACCCTACACACTACTGGAATACTCTTTGTACAAAATATGCCTTGTGAGGTATCATTCGAATACTACTAACTCACTGGTCAATAACAATACCATGATGAAAGGTGTAGTAACATTCTATGTAGAGTTATAAACTTAAGCCGAAATTGGGTCTGCAATGTGGTTACCAGACAAGCCTGGGGAAACCAGTTTCTCAAAGACAAAGGACAAGCTGTTGCCTCTAGGTGTCATCAAAGCTGATGGGCCACCACCTGTCAAGTGGCCATTCTTTGGCAAGGAAGGGGGGCGAGAACAGACACATCTGCATCTTAGCAAACAGCATGGAACCTCTTTCACGGTGAGACTCCATAACTCCA